TCTCTCCACACTGGCAGAGCCGAAACATATGACCGCAGATTGCAGATGCCCGGGTATGATCAGATTGTCGGAGGAAGACCTGATCCGCATCTACGAAGAAGATTGCATTCCGTGTTTCAGTCTTGGCCGTCTAGAGGATGGCGCTCTGGCCGTGGCTCTGTCGTCCATAAGCACGAAGCCAGAGGACCTAAACGACCCCAACAACCGCTATGTGGCTCTGTCTCATGTGTGGTCTGAGGGCCTGGGCAATCCGGGAGCCAACGAACTTCCCCTGTGTCAGCTCGCCTTCATCCAACACGAGGCAATGCGTGCCCTCCAAGCCGTCCAGACCCGCGATGAGGACTCTCCAGAACCAAGTGGTACCGGAATCACCGTGTCCAGCAGCACGAGAACGCAAAGCGTGAACCTCTGGGTCGACACCATGTGCTGTCCCGCGACACCCGGCTACGGCAAGAACCTCTGTCTGGCCAAGATGCGAGACATTTATGCCAACGCCTATGCGGTACTCGTCCGCACCACCGCCCTCGATGGTTTGTCCCTTGAGCCGATCGTCACTCAGCCAGAATTGGGCATCATGGACGTTGCCGCCCAGCTTTACCTCTCGCCGTGGATGCGACGCATGTGGACCCTGCAGGAGGGTGTGCTCGCCGGCTTATACCGATCTCCCCACGGGACTGGCGACCGTCTCATTCTCGACTTCGACGGCGCACTAATGTCGCTCGAGTCGGTCGTCGGATTGCTAAAGAAGGCCCCGCCGCATGAGGGCCCCTTGGCCTTTGATATGATCGGACGGCTCGGGCAGCTTGCGCCGCATCTCTACGGCCTCGAAGAGGAAGATGGAGCCGGAATGTTTACGTTTCTCGAGGTGCTGAGCCACGCGCTCAAGTACCGCGGCGTGTCGGTGCAATCGGACGAGCTCATCTGCCTCGCGACGCTGTTTGGGCTGCGGGTTGATAAGTCGCGAACGGCGGTCCCTCTCATTGGCGACGGACAGACGCCCGAGGAGGGCATGTGCGAGCTTTGGAAGCGCATCGAGAAGCTCAACTCGGGCATTCCAAGTAATATTATCTTTTCAGCCATTCCGCGTGCCAGCAAGCCCGGCTTTCGGTGGGCGCCGCGCACCATCATCCAGCACGGGAAATACGGGCCGCTATACGCCACTTCGTCGTCGCCGGAACTGGGAAGGATAACCGAGAGAGGCTTGCGTGTGCGGTTTCAGGGGCTTATGCTCAACATCGACAGCTCTGAAATTTACCGTCAAGACTTTTCGCAGTGGGCTGAAACCGACACGAAGGATATAGATCCACGCACGTTTTCCCGAACACTCCTTGTGCAGATCCCACCCGGTGGAAACGAGTGGTACTCGATAGTAGCGCGCCCCAGCGGCGAGGTGGACGGGGACACCGAGCACGAAGAGCCCAACCTTCACCAGCGGCTCAGGGCCGGTGAACGACTTGTTCTCCTCCTACAGCAGCCGCATCTAAGAGGTCAAGGGCTTATCGTCAGTCTCGGTGACGAGACAACGGCGTTGAACTCCACCTTTCCGGTCCAGGTGTTTACGATAGTGCCGGCGATGATCAATCAGTTCAAGGAGTCGGCGGCTTTTGTGGCGGCGTCCGCCCAAGAGTGCCTGAATAAACTGAACTCATCGCTGGGTACCGGCCAGGGCATCGTTATGGATCAAGTCCGGCTGACAGCGGCTGCCATGCTCAAGGAGTCGAAAGAGCTGGAGAGCGCAATGTACGTCGAGGTCCTGCGCGGCAAATCGTCGGCCACGGAGGAGGACCTTTTGGCCACGTTTGTCAAGTATGTCGGCACGCAGGCGAGATGCGGAGGTGTCGACGGTACAGTGACTGTCCCGGACCAGCTGTGGTGTGTGGACTGAGTGATGGACATTGTGTAGGATATGCTTATGGTAGGAGCTGTGCTCATGCCGGAAGCTCTACTCGTGGACAGAAGCCATCAATAGCTCGGTACTAGCTCAGAGCTAAAGATCCGCAAAACCTGTCATCCCTTCACGCGTGATTAGCGAGGTGACACCCGCAACGCTTATGGTTGCTCAAAGTTTCAAGATGAGATTGGCCTCAACTTCGAGGCACGCTGATACAAGCGTATCGGACTTTCCAGACAGTTGTTGGTTTGGATACTCTTATAAGAATGCCCTAGTTCCCTTACGGTGGTCTTTCGATATTCACCGAGCCCGAAGAAAACACATCACGTCAACATGTGCACCGCCACCATCATCAACAAGTACTGTCCCAGCACCTTCCTCAAGCAGGTGCCGAAGCACTGCGAGTGCTGGAACCACAAGAAAAACAAGCACGGAAACCACATGAAGGTGGAGGAAAACATCCAAAGATGCGGGGTTCCGAACTGCGGGTATTTGGACCAGAAGGCTGTCTCGGAGGACTCGGGGACTCTGTGCGGTGGATGGTATGTGTTGCGATTTTTTGTTTTCTTTTGCGTTATGCCGTTGCTGACGGTTGGGTTGGTGTTATTAGTGCCAAGTGGGAGTTTGCGAATAGTTGAGGGTTGGTTGTGCGGAGTGGAAGGGAATTCTTCGGATATGTTTTGTGTTCTTGGGTTGGGGCGGATGGCTGAGAGAGGGGTCAGAAGGACTGGACACCGTCGTTTGGATTGTTGCTGGGTCGGAGATATGTTTCGATTTGGTGATGGGGTTGCAGATGAGCTGTCAGTGGTTAGCGTTGTCTTTGGGGTGTTGAGAGCATGAGTTGCGAAGGCAAAGAGTCTGGGACCGACCGAATTTCGAAGCGGTGGAGGTAATATTGAGCTCTGAGACGGGCTTTTTGAAGGGGCGACCCAGGCACAAGCATGGCTTTCCTCGCTCGGGATGACGGGCCTGTTCAGTGTTCAATGCCTCCGTCATCCACAGCCATGGCAACACAGCTCACACACAAGGCACAGAGCTAATATGATCGAAGCATTCGAGATGAGATCGTCCTTCCAAATGTAGGTAGACTCTCGAGGATTCGGCTTTGGAGAAGAATTGGGGCAAGTCACGCAATCAGCGAATCGGAGTTGAGGATGGCCGTGAACGAAATCCTGGCGGATGCCGACTCCGAAGACGTCTCCGATTCGACAGCCGAGAGCGTCCAATGAGAACGCTTTCCTTTCAGGCTCGACTAACATCTATATAATTCTCGCCTGCTTGCAGCTATCTGGTGACCTGTGCATCACCGACTTTGCGCCAAAATGACCACGCTCAGCCCAGACCCCCGGTTCGGCCCTAACAAGTCAGTAGCAGTCATCGGGGCCGGTATCGCCGGTGTCTCGGCGGCCGCTCACCTCCTCAAACACGGGCTCTCCGTGACCGTCTTTGAGAGATCCGACACGATCGGCGGAATCTGGCACTACGACGAGCGGACCGCCGCCGACCCTCCGTTTCCATGCCACACCCCCTCGGCCGGCGACTTTCGCGTGTCCCGGCCGGGCGAATACGCGCAGTCTACACCGCCACCGGACACGCCCGAAAAGGATGATGTCGAGGTCCAATTTGCGCCGCCGGGGCCGTGCTATGCCGGTCTGCAGACGAACATCCCTACGAATGTTCTCGTCAGCCGTCTGCACGCGTGGCCGGACGGGACAGATCTCAAAGTCAGCCAGGTGTTGTCGGAGAGGTTCATCGTCGACATGGCTGCCGCGCACGGCGTTGACGGCGTGACGAGATTCCGCACGCGCGTCGATCAGGTGACCAAGACGCCCGACGGCCGGGGCTGGGAAGTTCGAACGGTCGAGCTACAGCGGAACAAGAGGCTGGTCGAGCACCGCGAGGTTTTCGATTTTGTCGTTGCGGCATCCGGACACTACAGCATGCCCCGGATCCCGCCCATCTCCGGGCTGGAGGGGTGGAAATCCGCGTTTCCCGCTCGACTAAGCCATTCGAAGCAGTATCGACGTCCGGACCGGTTCCGGGGACGTACCGTGCTTGTGGTTGGCGCGGGGGTGTCGGCGATGGATATATGCCACGAGTTGACCGGAGTCGGGGCGACCGTGTACCAGAGCGTGCGCGGCGGGTTCGCGGATATGCCGCTGCATATGCTTCCTCCTTCGACAATGCGGGTGGGCGAGATTATCTCCTTCTCTGATCTTTCCGCTACCTCCGGCAACACCGATGAGAATGCCCCCATCCCGGGAACAGTCCACCTCAAAGACGGAAAGATTCTGGACGGGATACACGATATCGTATTCGCAACGGGCTACATAACCACATACCCCTATCTCCCGCAATTTCACTCCGACAGCCTGAAAAACACTCAGGCAGATGAGCGGGTACTGATAACAGCAGAAGGGACAATGGTGCACAACCTGCACCGCGACATTTTCTACATCCCCGACCCGACGCTGGCATTCATCGGTGTCCCGCTCCACACCGCGTCGTTTGGACTAGACGATTTCCAGTCCGAGACTGTCGCGCGCGTATTTACCGGGAAAGCGAAGCTGCCCACCGAAAAGGAAATGAGGGCGGAGTATGCAAAGAAGATAAAAGAGAGGGGCGTGGGCAAGGGATTCCACTCGCTTGCGCTCGGGGGAAGCGAGGTGGCGTATGTGGACGGGCTGGTCGAGTGGATGAACCGCGGACTGGAGGAGGACGAGAAGGTGGTGGGCTTGGGGGCGGAGTGGGTGAGGATGTATGAGGCGTTTAAGAGGGAGAAGGCCGTGGAGTGGTTTGGCAGTCTGGAGGAGGCAGAAAAGTGGCTGGGGAAGAAGACGTGAGGTCGATTGCTTTTGAAAGGACTTTTGTAAAATGCGGTTTTCCTCTACGTGGACGAGCCGCTGGTTGAAGCTGTTCTGCGAAATTGTGACTCACAGTGAAAACAGGAAAAAAATAGGCAACGAAACAGCACTGGAGGTGAGAAGGGAAACTGGGGAACGTGTGCTCGCAATGGCCCCTTTTGTTTACATGCCGACCACATGTACTGTACCTCAACACTCCAGAAGACCAAAAAGTTGGCCTAGTGCTCTCACACCGCTGGATGATATGGACGAGCTGGGAATCGAACCCAGGGCCTTTCGCAGACCGCGGATACATATTAGCGTTACTGTAATGTACCGGACATGCGAAGCGAACGCTCTACCCCTGAGCTACACGCCCGACAGATGATTTGTTGATAGTCGTGTCAACAAAGGGCTATTTGTAGCACCTGCAAGTCTCTAAGAACTCTCAAAGCACACCTTTTCTATTATTCTCGCCACCATGTAGCTAGATGTATGAAAGTCAAAGAAACGCGATACATGTACTTCCCGCCTCATTACTGCCAGGAATAGAATTTAAGCCTCGAGGAACAAAAGAGCATGCTGGACAAAAAGGTCGGCGAATTGGAAGAGGAACCCATGACCGCTGCCCGGATACACAACCAGCTGTCCGTTGGGCACCTGCTGCTGCAGCACAAAGCTGTTGACCGTGGGAACCATGTAGTCATCCTGCCTTCTGTCAGCCTGGTTGTCCCAAAAGCAAGATGTACCTCAAAAAGAGAAAACTCACATGGCCATTGGCAACAAACACCGGGATACCCAACCCCTTCAACCGCTCAAACGAGCCCTCCCTCCCCACGGACTGATCCGGCGTCGCCCAGCCCGACAGCTGGCTCACATGCGCCTTGAGCCCAACAGCCCCATCAGCATACCCCTGGCTCAACCACCCAGCCGGCTTCTCACCGGAGGTCTTCTCGCTCCGCTCATGGATCCGCACCCACCACTGCTCAGCCGCCGCATCCCCCTCCCTCGTCTTCGGAAAGAAAAGCGTCTTAAACCCCTCCAGCGTGACCTCCGCACTCCCCGCAATCCGGCCAACATTCTCCGCATTCGGCGAGCCCTGCACGCCCGCTCCGGCACTGGGCGCCGTGCCTCCCAGGATCAGTTTTCTGACTTTTAGCTTGGCAGGGTCGGCGTTGAGCGCAACGAGCTGCGCGACCATGCCGCCCAGGCTGAACCCGAGGATGTCGACCTCCGAGAGGCCGATGAGGCCGAGGAAGAGGATGATGTCGTCGGCGGACTCGGCGACGGAAGTGGCCACGCGCCCGCCCGTGGACTGGCCCACGCCGGCGTAGTCGACGGTGATCACGGCGCGGCGCGCGGCGAGGCCGTTGAGCACGAGCGGGTCGAACTTGTCCATTACGCCGCGGAAGTGGGTGAGGACCAGCAGGGGCGTGCCGGAGCTGGTGCCGAGGCGGCGGTAGGCGAAGGTGGTGCCGTTGGGGTGGGCGGCGAACTGCGTCTTGGCGGTTTGGTGGGTGGACATTTTGATGGTTGATTTGGTGTTGGAGTGGTGATTTTACGGTAGGGGATGACTGAAGCTTGGCTGCAGGTGGTTGTTGTGGTGATTCAGGGGTTTGTTTTCTTTCGAGGCTAGTGCTGAGAAACTGTGTCGATGGCTGCTGGATGGACAACATTAGACTTGCAAGTCCGACAGTTATATAGTTGTTTTCGATGGTATGCGAGGAGACCCTGATTATACAACATCGCCGTTGCTTTTGTCATTCAGACCTGTCTTGGTCTCTGGTGTGGGTGATTAGTGATCAGCCCTTCGGCACAACAGCCCCCTTGGCACACGCACGGTCTGCCAAATACTCATATCCAGGGTGACGTGGTCTTGTTCACATTATAAGAAGTTGTGGATTTCAAAGCATTGCTGGATGTGGTGTTCTGCAGACGGACGAATTAGTCTCCAACATGCATCATCGAGCGATGACCGACATCATACTGATTTCAAACACTTGACGCAACCTCACTAGGTACCACACAGGAAAGGCATTCCAGGACCCGTTTTCCTGGCCCATAGAACACGGATATTTCTCGGCAGGGCGGCGGAAGACAGTTAGAATTACGAACACCGAGTACACGACAACTTCCCGACAGCGGCCCATGATGAATCGCGTACGATGACACGCGTTCTGAGGTGCTGTGCCGTCTCTTTGCGTCAAGTTTACTTTGTAATCCCCTGTGCCATTCATTTTCCTAGTTTGTGTCGATGTTGATAGCCCGGTGAGGTGGCAGGGACCCGAGTTTGTCATGCAGTTCCCACTTCAGTTCCCTAACCATCTCAAGGGAGAACTCCCACACCATCTAGGTTGGCAATAGTGGATTGGAATTCACGCAGGTACCACAAAACCTGTATCTACGCGTTGAGATGTGCAGGTAGATAAAGATAGCGCCTAAGAATTCTACCGAAAAGAACGCTAGGTACAGAGACAAAACGCGGCACATGATGCCAAACATACCGATAGCTTCTCCAAACAATATTCAAGAGGACCTCATATTGAATACCAGCCTCAACATCACGCTTCATTATCCATGGCCTGTCTACCTTGTCTACCAGAATTCGCCTCCATCTACCTCCTCAGTTGAAAAGTCGACCGCCAGAAATGTTGACAGTTCGTTGCCCAAAATTTCCGATATTTGCACCCCAAAATCTCTACCCCGGCAAACCGCCGTAATCGAATCGGGGTATGTAACTGATGTGCCGTAATTTGTGAGCATAACAACGATTATAGGCGCCGAGAACTAAATTTACCTCGATGTGATGATGGAATCAGTTGCGCACGCCGCAGTGCGCGCACGTGCTGCTGCCCTCGACGGGGTTGGTCTTTTTGCAAGAAGAACAGGTCCAAGTGTCACCGTCCATCAGCTCGGAGCCGCTTTTGGCGAACTTGTCGGTGAAGAGTTCCTCCATAGAGGCGTATTGCATTGTAGGTGCGAAAATGTCGGGCTGATCATCCACCCAGGCCTGGGAAACCTGAGCAGTGACATCCCGAACGTCGTAGATGGGGTCACACATGGCGAGGAAGGTGAAATTTGGGGTTGTTGGTGAGGCTGTGTGCGGCTGAAACGGGTGGCGTGAGAATGGTGTGATTTCTCTTTTTCCTTCGGCTGCAGACTGGATGCGAAGAGTGAGGAGAAAGGAGAAGACTGGAAGGGGAGAGGTAGCACGTTAAATATGCTTTCAATCGGGGCCACGAACTCATACGAGGGCTGTTCTACACGAGAAGAGAATTGACAGCACTGCGAGCTTCTCCCGATCATTTAGTTCCCGATCACACTGGGTTCTGGTCTGATGAAGCACCGACGTGACGGGAAGCCTCCTTCCTCATGTCGTTGTTTTTGAGACTGAAATTTCGGCGGGCTGTTCATGGGTATCTTCCAAATGGGCCCGTTTTCTGCTTCCCAACAGCTGCTCCTCCGACGGAACTCCCAATGAGCACAGAGATTGATCATCATCAAGCAAGGCTGCCGCATATCAGGATCTTGCATTGTGTGTGTGTTGGAGCCAAATTCCACACCTGGCAGCGTTCGGGACCCCTTCATCCGAAGTCAACGCTCCACTGAACTATTTGCTGAGGCCAAAACTTCGATTTCAACGTTCCTGCCCCGCTGCCACGATCGGGGTTCCGACAATGGCTAGAAATAAGATGAACTGCCGTTTCTCGTGATGCGCCGTCACAGGTATGTATGCCCGATCTCTCAATGACACTGATTGAGACTAATCATAAACGAAATAGAAGCCAGACCGGGTCCCGGAAAATAGCACGCCGCGGGGTCTACTCTACAAGCTCGCTGCCCACCCCGCCACCATCAGCACCCCCAAGAGCGCCTTCCACTTGACACCACGCTCGCAGGTAGCCGATGACGAAGAAGCACGGCTGACAAGATCGTAATCCACAAACTCGCACCTCCCTCGCACATTATGCACCGTCATATTCCCCAGGAGCACCCTCTGCTGCTCCATCTAGTCAATATACCCCGCCAGCTGCGCGCCCGCCTGCTTCTCGCTGTGCGTGAAGCAAACCGGTCCGCTGCAGCCGTCCTGGATCAGGTATATGCTCCTCGCATTGACCATGTCGGTCTCGGGGTCGCAACAGTCACGGTAGAGCAGGTAGTCGATGGCTTCATTGGAGGTCTGGTTCTCGGCCAGGCGCTTGTAGTTGACCTCGGCTGCGCAGAAGATGGGGGTATTGAGGTCCGGTAGCGGTTGGTAACACGCCTGGGCATCGCGAGACCAAGCTGCGATGAGCTGTGGCATGTCAGCCTTGTTTCGAGCTACCTTATGAGGGATATTCTTACCGGCGATAGCCCTGCTGCAGAATGGGTGATAGTTGTTGAGTTGGGTATGGTCATTGTCTAGAAATTCGGGCCGGTAGACTTGAAGGTTGGAAGAGTAGCGTCCGTCGAGGACTAGCAGCAACGTAGTCCCTGAGGCCCGTAGGTATGTAGCAAATATTACCTGCAAATACCCACGAAATTAGTTACACTTGACAATAGACTTCCAGGTAAGGGGACGGAGCAGCACGCCTTCGACGCTGTCGGTGACCAGTCCGTTCTGTCCTACGACGAAGCCACAACAGACAAGGGGAACCAGCTGCGCAAGACTTCGGCTGGGAGTTATCCTACCTTATCTTGAAGCAACTGCTACCGCATGATCCGGAACAGTATCACGCTGCCTGGGTACCTAATGTGTTGGGCCTCGGGTATGAGGGACAGTTGTTTACACAAGGGGTTTAAATCGATCCCATGCCCGCGTGAATTTTCGGAACCGCCCAGATAACAAAATGTGGAAGATGCTGGAAATGACTTGAAAATCGAGCTCTTCGCCGCATAGGCATCATTTGTATCAAAACGCGGGGGAGGACGTTGTCATACAAACCTTATCCAGGCAGTCAAATCAACATATCGCGGCAAAGGAAGGGGAATATGCTGGAAAGGTTCTGCCTATGTTGCTTGCGGTACCTTCTCGTTCACAGACCCTGAAAATCAAGTCCATGTCTCCATGTTCTGTCAGGATTTGTCCGTCGAAAGTCGTCCATTTATCAACCCCACCTCCCTCGAAAATTGAAAACAATCCTCTCCTGCTCACAATCAAACCTTTTCGTCTGATTTTGACTCTCTCTGAAGGTGTCCGAGTTCAACTCTCTGTCAATTCAAGGTAAGCTCCATTGCATTTCTTTTCACTCGTTGGCATTGTTCTGCATGAGTGTCTGTGAGGGAATGTGCCTTTGCAATCCCTTTTGCAGCCTCGCAGATTTGGCTTGTTGTTGGGATTGCACATTGTTGCGATCCACTCTATTGTCCGCGGGCCTGACTGTCCCTATTGTCTCTATT